TGGTTGATTATTGTGGCCCATTACCAAAACCTCCCTCCCTCCTCCCTCTCCCCCCTCCCCTTTTTTTTTTTTTTTTTTTTTAAATAAAGATGACTGGTAAGGGGATCTTAACCCTTGACTTGGTGTCAGCACTGTGCTCTCCCAAGTGAGCTAACTGGCCATCCCAATATAGGGATCTGAACCCTTGGCCTTGGTGTTATCAGCACCACACTCTCCCAGGTGAGCCACGGGCTGGCCCCTAGTTGTATATTTTCTACTATTTTTTCCCCCTAATCTCTTGGCTCTACCTTCTTGGGCTCAAAAACAAAAATCTGCCTACTGCCAAATCATTTAGTGCATCCTGTGGCTCAGTTTTTTGTTTTTTTTCTGGTGGCTGGCTGGTATGGGGATACAAACCCTCAACCTTGATGTTATCAGCACCATGCTCTACTGAGTAAGCTACTGGCCAGATCTTCAGTTTTTATTTCTTTAGATCTGTGGTCCTTGGAAACAGGGCCCACTACCATCCATGACAGTCTAATGTAATACACAAGGTACTTACTACTTAGAAAATAAGAGGTAAAAGTAGCTAATCCTTGGTTTAATGTTTTTGTTGAGTCTTAAAACATTAATTTGAAAACATGTCTACATTTGATGATTGTTTTAGTTCATTTCTGTTGATTATAATGTAATACCTGAAACTGGGTTATTTATAAAGAAATGAAATTAATTTCTTACCATTTGGAGGCTGGGAAGTCCAAGGTCCAGGGAAAACATCTGGTGAGTACTTCTTCTTGGTGGTGACTCTCCAGTGACACAGGGTGTCACATGTCAGGAATAGGCTGAGCGAGAGAGCTAACCTTCTCATTCATTCTCCTTATAAAGCCATCAGAACCATGCCCATGATAACTCATTACTTCATGAATGGATTAATCCATTCACAAGGGCACAGTCCTAACATCCAATCACCTCAAGGCCCCATCTTTCAAATACCATAATTGGATTTTACCCTCTTAACACTGTTACAGTGGAGCTCAAGTTACCAACCATGAACACTTGGGGGACACATTTGACCCATCACAACAATATTTGAACAGCAGCAGTATCCATGTTAAGTCTTTAATGTGAGGTGAGTTATCTGTTATCATTTCATTGTAACATTTTAATCAGTATATGTGGTAAATTAGTATGTGGAAGGGCTTTTTTCTATTGTAAAGCACTTCACAAATGCAAGAGGTTAGTTGGAAATGGTTGTATTTGAATATCCTAGATCTGTGTAGCTAATATGATATTCTTATATGGGGACAATTGTGTGTGTATGAGTTTTACTTAGAAATTTTCTGAAGTTGAATTAACTAACTGGTTTTAGGAACACCCCTTAATCTCTTGGCTCACTTTCCTTATCTATAAAGTAAATACAGTAAAGATCCTTTTTTTTTAATCTCTAATTTGAAAGCCTTAAGTTTAAACATGAGAGTGGTTAGTGGTCTTTATGAAATTTAAAATAGGAGGCAACACATTTAACTTATTTTACTCTTTTTCCACGTAGATCATGGAAGGAAAGTGGTTGCTGTGTATGATACTGGTCGTTGGAACGACTCTCGTTCAAGCTCATGATGGACATGACGATGATATGTTTGATCTTGAGGATGCTCTTGATGATGTTATTGAAGAGGTAGAAGACTCAAAACCAGATACCAGCACTCCTACTCCGTCTCCAAAGGTTTGAAGTGGTCTTTGAATCTGTTCCTTTTACCTCTTGAAATAATAAAATTGTGAAGACAAATTTGGATTCTTTTCAAAGGGAAAGCAAAGTTTGCTAAAATATTTATTGATCTCTTTGTTATATCTTGCCAAAAGTCATTTGTACGGATTGAATTCAAGACCAGTTGTGAAATTTTTGTAATAATTGAAAGCAAACCAAGAGAATAAATCCTACCGAGACAGGCATGTTGACTAAGAATGTTGTTGAAAATTTAATTCTTAATTCATTTTTATATTTAAAACAGGTCACCTACAAAGCTCCAGTTCCAACAGGGGAAGTGTATTTTGCTGATTCCTTTGACAGAGGAACTCTGTCAGGGTATGTGTTTCCTCGGGGAAAAAATCTTAGAGGCAAACATCATGTAAATAAGGTGGAATAGTGGATTTCTTTTTGGATAGCATTTTATCTAGTAAAATGTGTAACTTTTATATTTCCATTGTTCATGTCCACTTAGGAAAATACTCTTTTGGAACTTGTTGTTCATGCTTCCATTCCTTTCCCTTCTCCAAGCCACCTTATATTTTGTTCTTTGGTTGAGAAAAAAAACTTTTTCTTGAGTCTTAAAAAAAAAAAAAAAAGTACAATTATCTCATGTGTTTGGTACTTTTTCTTATAGGTTTGTGAGTTCAATACAATGTATTATCTGTCACTACTGTGTGACAGATTTAAAAGTTGGAAGTAGAACTAAGAAGAGCAGGATAGATCCTGCTTTTATGAGCATTTTTTGTTTCTCTTCACAGGTCAACTGTCATTTGAATCTTAATTTGGGGGTTTGTCTTAATTACAGGTGGATTTTATCTAAAGCTAAGAAAGATGACACTGATGATGAAATTGCCAAATATGATGGTGAGAATTCCATTTGGTTTAAATATGATAGCAGATTGAGGTTTGACATGTTGTCTCCATGGCATTTCTCTCTTAAGACTAGTTTAAAAGAAGATAGGAGTTTTAAAATTTTCCTTGGAAGTTTTGTCCTCTTTGTTGCCTTATTTAATAGAATTAGGTCAGTTTAATTACTTGTACTGCTGAATGTTGAAAACAGAAGGCCCTTTTTATTTTTTATTTTTATTTTTTGACCAGTAAGGGGATTGCAACCCTCGGCTTGGTGTCATTCACACCACGCTCAGCCAGTGAGTGCACCAGCCATCCCTATATAGGATCTGAACCTGCGGCCTTGGCTCTGCCCCTCTCCTGAGTGAGCCCGGGGCCAGCTCAGAAGGTCCTTTTTATTTATTTGTTTGTTTGTTTGTTTGTTTGTTTGTTTACTTTTTACCTTTAAAAAATAATAATTTATTTTATTTATTGAATCAAAATTGATTATACATATTTTGGGGGTTGAACATTGAGATATGTTGATTAAATCAGTATTACTAGCATATATATTGTTACAAATCATAATTATTCTCTATGCCGCTCATCCAACTTCTCCCCTTCCCCCATTCCCTCCCCCTTCACCCTCTAATTGCCTAGATTTCTTCTCTCCTGAAAGAATAATGGTTATTCTGTTAACTTGTTACCTAGATGATCTGTCCAATGCTGAGAGATGTGATCAGGTCCCCCAATATTATCATAGAGCAGATGCTTCTTCTGCCACTCTGAAAGGGGTTTTGTGGAAAGAGACATCCTCTTCTTTTCTTTGTCTCTGCTGGTGATGTGGGGTGCTGTTTTTGGCATGCTCCTTGGCACTGGCGGTATGCCTGGTTGTGGGGTGTGTTTGGTCCCCTTCTCCTTGCCTTGGGTCCCCAGGCAGACCCCAAGGTGCTGGCATGTTGTGCCTGGTTGTGGGAGAGAGGTCCAGTCCCCTATCCATGCCCCAGGTCCCCGGGTGGTCTCCAAGGTGCTGGCATGTTGTGCCTGGCTATGGGAGGGTGGTCTGGTCCCCAACTCCATACCCTGGGTCCCTGGGTCAGAAGGTCCTTTTTAGATAGTGGTATAATGAATATGCTACAAATTTTTAACTGTATTCTAATATTTGTCAAATATACGTGTGTTTAATATTAATGGGCCAAGTCTCATAAACAATTGAACATGTTAAAAATTTGTCAGAGTGATAAAGTCAAACAACTTGGAGTTTTGTTTGTTACCATTTAAAGGACATTCAAAGGTATAGTTAAGGAGTCGAGCTTTTTTGTATTGTCTTGTAGGAAAGTGGGAAGTAGATGAAATGAAGGAAACAAAGCTTCCGGGTGACAAAGGACTTGTATTGATGTCTCGGGCCAAACATCATGCCATCTCCGCTAAACTGAACAAACCCTTTCTATTTGATACCAAGCCTCTCATTGTTCAGTAAGTGAAATGCTTGTTTGAGAAAAGCTTTCCAGAAGGGATAATCTCAGAAGAGAGTATAAAACCCTTACTCTGGGCCGGCCCGGTGGCGCACTGCTACAGTGCGCCGCTTGGGAGTGCGGCGGTGCTCCCGCCGAGGGTTCGGATCCCACATACAGACCGGTTCCCGCTCACTGGCTGAGCGAGGTGCAGACGCAGCACCGAGGGTTGCGATCCTGTTGCCGGTCCGGTCTGGTGCGGGCGCGACACTGAGGGTTGCGATCCGTTGCTGGACACGACAAAAGACAAAAAGGAAAAAAAAAAAAGCCCTTACTCTATGTAAAAAATAATATGATATATAAGTTAAAAAGGGATTGTTGGGTGAATTTAAGCATTTTGTAATTAATATTTTTTCCCTGCCTAATAAATTATTTCGAAACGAACAGGATATCATCCTCCTGATGGGTAATTAACTTCTGGATTTTGCAAAAAGTATTTACTGGGAATCTGCATTAAGGTTTAATTTTATTTATTTGTTTTTGTGGGATTGAGTAGCCATTCAAGAACAATAGAAGATGGGATCTTTCCTAAAGATAAACACATGATCTGTGATAAAATATGACCAAGATGGGGGAAGGAGAAATGAATTAAGAGATTTGATCTTTCAAAATGCCATATGGTTTTCTGCATTTCTCTCTGAAATTAGGTATGAGGTTAATTTCCAGAATGGAATAGAATGTGGCGGTGCCTATGTAAAACTGCTTTCTAAAACACCAGACCTCAACCTGGTAGGTAATTCCTATTTCTTTATGTGGCAGACCGCCCACAACAGTCTTATAAGAATCTTAGAAAAAAGGAAAGAAAACTCTGTAAGACCTGTGAAAATAAAGGCCTCCTCTGTGCAGGATTAGGAATATTGACTTTGACACTAATATGCTTTTTATTTGAGATGGGAATTTCAAAGCTATTACCAACTGTATCTCATCTCTGGTTTCTGTTCTGTGTAATTCTTAGTTTTAGCAAACCTATTTCTTTGTTTTATGAAAGAAACAGTAACTGTCTAGATACAAGCATTACTTTGTTTTTTTAAGCACTTAAATGTGTTCTTGTTATAAATTTCCTAATAATTGCTGGTTATTCCTTTTTACTCAACCAATCATACAAGGTAGTTAGCTTTTCCTTTAACTGTGACTAATTTATTTGGATTTTGTAAGAGGAAATATTATACACTTTTGAAAGGTTGCTTTTGGAGACTTTGACTAGTTACCTAAAATAATTTATTTTTGTTTTGAAGGATCAGTTCCACGACAAGACCCCTTATACAATTATGTTTGGTCCAGATAAATGTGGAGAGGACTATAAATTGCACTTCATCTTTCGCCACAAGAACCCCAAAACGGGTATTTATGAAGAAAAGCACGCTAAGAGGCCAGATGCTGATCTGAAGACCTATTTTACTGATAAGAAAACACACCTTTACACATTAAGTAAGAAAACCATTAGTTTGGAGGTTTTGTGGCATTACATATTTATCATCTATTTAATTTAAAGATTGCACGTGTGGAGAATACCTAAGCTAGCAAATAAGAGTCTCTTGACTTACTGTCTTAGTAAAAATGAACTTAATTTGTCAATGCTAAAGGAAACTCCTCTCCCATAGGATGAGCTGAGAACTATTGTTTGGGACAGTTTTAAGAATAAGCTTTTATGTTCCATAAAGAGCTTCATTGCTGATCCTCCTCCTTTCCTCTCTTTGTTTTCTTATTGATAAAATACTAAATAATAGACATACAATAAAAATACATATACACATTTTCAAAATTACCTATTAGTTGAACTTTCTTTGGATACTCTAATACTTGGACAATTGAGTTTAATCATTTGGATGTTCAAATAGGTTTTTTGTTTTATTTTGTTTTTGGCAGCTGGCCAGTACTGGGATCTGAACCCTTGACCTTGGTGTTATACTACTATGCTCTGACTGACTGATCTAACTGGCCAGCCCCTGTTTTTGTTTTCAGTGAAGCTTTTCTTACTGGTTTAAGATCAGATATAGACATGCCTCTTTTTCTAAAGAATATAATAACCTTTTTTCTTTATTATAAAAGTAACACATATTTAGGGTATAGAAATTCAGAAGATAGAAATAAGCAAAAAGAAGACACTTAAAATTATCTGAAATATCAATATTGTGATATGTATTTGTGTATATATATAAACACATAAGACTTTTTACAAAAAGCTAAATATGCTGTATTTAATTTGCTTTATTAACTATGTAAGAGTGAGAATCTTGCCTACAAGAATATTTATCTTCATTATCATTGATAACAGCAGCGTAGTATTCCATCATGTAGATATGCAGTAACTTGAAATTTAGGTATAGGATCCAGGCTTTAGCATAAATTACACTTTACCTAAATAGATTTAGAATTGTGTTTTCATTCTCCATTGGACTTAAAGTACAACCATGAGTGGACATGTGGTTTAGTAAATAAAAGGGTTTGTGTAACTTAAAACATAGATGGTGGTAATACCAGCTCTGTTAAAAATGAAGAAATGGGCCTTTGCTACTGAGAGGCGTTTATAATAAACTTACTAGCCTGTGTGACTGTGTCAGACCAATAATTGTGTTAGTTTATGTAGGTTTTTTGATGTTATTAGTGTCTATTTGTTGTAATTCTTAGAAACCTGAGGAACTAGCATTTATGTTTTGCAGATGAAGAAAAAGGGGTTAACTTGGCCAAGCCCTTGAGAACCAGGCATTGGAGATCATATTCCAAGCCCAGCATATGTGGTTTCTCCTCCATGCTTCCATGATGCTGCTCTGTTAGATTTTTGGGGGGTGGGGGGGGGTGGTGGCAACTGGCTGGGATGGGGATCCAAACCTTTGACCTTGGTGTAATAACACTGCTCTCTAACCAACTGAGCAAACTGGCTAGCCCCTTTTTAAAAAAATTTTTTTAATGAATTAATTTTTTTACACAGTTGGCCAGTACAGTGATGAACCCTGTACCTTGTTGTTATTAGCACGACGCTCTAACCAACTGAGCTAACCCACCAGTGCATGCCCTCCCCTCTTTTATTTTGTGACTTTATTTTTATAGCAGTTTTAGGTTTACAGAAAAGTTGAGCAGAAAGTACAGTCAGTTCATCTACCTCTACAGTTTCTCCTGTTATTAAGAGCTTACATTAGTATAGAGAAATCATGATCTTTGTGTTGTGGTAAAAGGAGCTTGTGAATGTGTGGTTCATTAACTGTTTTTTAATTGCATTTTATTTTTTTTCAGTCTTGAATCCAGATAATAGTTTTGAGATATTAGTTGATCAGTCTGTTGTGAACAGTGGAAATCTGCTAAATGACATGACTCCTGCTGTAAATCCTCCACGTGAAATTGAGGACCCAGAAGACCAGAAGCCTGAGGACTGGGATGAAAGACCAAAAATACCAGATCCAGATGCTGTCAAGCCAGATGACTGGTGAGTCTTGAGGTCCTATTCTAAGGGAGCATTTTGTGTATTCCACATGGCTTGAATAACCAAATGTTGGTTAAGGGAGATCTTATAATTTTAATAATCTAGGATGCAGTCTAAACTGTAGGAAAAAATGTAGACTACTATAGCCGATACTGGGCCATAGTGATTGTCTCACACCTTTTACAAACCAAAGAATTCTGAAATTGGTGATACAGTTTGCCTTTGGTGACATGGTTTGCTTGTGGCAGAACCTCCAGTCTTTTGGCCTGGCCATCCCAGTGTTTCTTGGAATTTGCATTTAGTGCTGAAGTCCTGAAATGTTCATTTTAATTTGAAAAATAAACTTTTTCCTATTTAAACAATACTTGGAGATCTCTGCTCTGTGTTGGGCAGTGGAATACAAACCCACAAGACACAACCATCTGCCTACACACAGCTCCCAGTCCAGTTCTGAGATAGATAAATAAAATCAGTATGGTAAGTGGTCTATGACAGGGTGCTACTGGGGGACCAGAGCACCAGGTATATCTAACCCCAGCATGATTTCTTAGAGCAGGGCAGATCAAACTGAGACTTGAAAGAAGGGTTAGAATTAACTAAGTGGTGAAGATGGGAAGTGGTATTCCTGGTTGAAGAGGTATATCACATGCAGAAGTAGAAAAGCAGGAATGAGTTTGACATGCATGAGAGAGATTGAGTATTATATGGCCTTTTACAATAGGATGCAAATTGGACAGTGATGAGAAATGAAGATAGGTGGGGGAGGATAGACTCGTATGTGACCATATTTGAACTCCAATACAGTGACTTTTAGAAATGTCAGAAAGTAAACAAAGAAATAATGAAACTGATCTTACCATTTGTAAAAGTATCCTCCTGTGCTTAGCAGTTTCATTCTAGATGATCTTTTTTCACCCTTAAAGGGAATATATGTACCTAACTTTTATGCTGCACTAGTGCAGATGCTTAAGTTTATTTGTATATTTGGTGAACATTAGATTCGTACTTACCCTTTTTCGGTATTTTATTTCTTAACTGTTTTAGGGGTGGGAGCAGATGAGTGTTCACTCAGCTTTAAAAGGTCAGCTGAATGTTATACAAGTTCTTGAGGTTCTCACACAATTAATTTAAAACTAACATAGCTGAAAAAGAAGCATAATCCTAACCAAGAGTAAAAGATGTCTTTGGTTGACAGCTAACGTGTCACTGTCTTATAGCAACTGCATAAAACTTTGAAATTAGGTACTTCTTGATGAACTTTTATTTTAGGAGTAATTTTTTTTAAGTGTACAATTCAGTGGTGTTTAGTATATTTACAGTGTTGTGCAACTATCACCACTGTCTAATTTCAGAATATTTTTATCACCTAAAAAGAAACCTGTACCCATTAAGCAGTCACTCCCTATTTCCCCCCTTCACCCATACCCTGGCAACTACTAATCTACTTTCTGCCTCTTTGAATTTGCCCATTGTGGACATTTCATATACATGGAATCATTTAATGTATGGCCTTTCACTGGGCTTCTTTTACTTAGCATAAATGTTTTCCAGGTTTACCCATGTTGAAGCATGTATCAGTACTTCATTTCTTTTTTATGACTGAATAATATTTCATTGTGTAGATAATACCACATTTTATTTGTCTATTCCTTAGTTGATGGACATTTAGGCTGTGTCTCCTTTTTGGCTATATGTATCAGTTATGTGCTGTTGTGAACATTTATGTACTAGTTGTTGTGTGGAAATATATTCTCATTTCGCTTGGATATATACTTAAAAGTGGAATTGCTGGTACATATGGTAACTCTGTGTTTAACTTTTTGAGGAACTGCCAAACTGTTTTCCAAAGTTGCTGCACCATTTTGCTTTTCCCACCATGCATTTCCCTGATGGCTAATGATGTTAGCATCTTTTCATTTGTTTGTATATCCTTTTTGGAGAAATATCTATTCAAATAAATAATTTGAATAGATATTGCCATTGTCTAATTTGTTATTATAATTTATTTATTACATAAGTATTTATTATATAATTGGGTTGTCTATTTATTAATGAATTGTAAGAGTTCTTTTACTAGGCCCTTATCAGATATATAGTTTACAAATATTTTTTAGGAGGTATTAATTTTAAATTTTGAAGTTAAGTAAAAGACCTGAATATTTTTAGAATGCTCTGTTTCAGGTTCTCAAAGTGGGGCTACACTGATTTTCTGGCCAGTGTCGTCATAACTGGCTTTTTCTTTTGTGTTTAAGGGATGAAGATGCACCTGCTAAGATTCCAGATGAAGAGGCCACAAAACCTGAAGGCTGGTTAGATGATGAGCCTGAGTATATACCTGATCCAGATGCAGAGAAGCCAGAGGATTGGTAAATGCTTCAGCTGACTTTATAAATTAACTGTTTTTTGTTTTTGTAGCAAAATATTTATAACATAAGATTTGCCATTTTAAGCATTTTTAAGCATATGTGTGTGGAATCAATTACATTCACAATGCTGTGTGATCATGACAACCACATCTATTTTCAAAATTTGCTTGTCATCTTAAGTGTAAACTCTGTACCCATTGAGAAATAACTTCTCATTATTCCTTCCCCCTCTTTTTTTCTTTTTTTGAAATGCATTTGTCATGAAAAGCTGTCATTACTGGAAGTATAGAAACGAGAAGATGGTGTTCTGTAGTATGACACTAAAAACATTCCAACAGCATCTCAGGGGAGCACTGGACTGGCCAGCATGACAGAACCCATTTGTAATTTGATTTTTATATCTCCACAGGGATGAAGACATGGATGGAGAATGGGAGGCTCCTCAGATTGCCAACCCTAAATGTGAGTCAGCTCCTGGGTGTGGCATCTGGCAGCGACCTATGATTGACAACCCCAATTACAAGGGCAAATGGAAGCCTCCCATGATTGACAATCCTAACTACCAGGTTTGTGTCTCTTGATGGTTGAGTTGCTGTCATTGATCTGTACATATTCATACAGAAGTTTTCCCTCTAGTGAGGTTGCCAGGTTGATCATCATATTCAAGTTACTGAATTAAGAGCAGAAATGGGCTGGGGCTGGTTTGCTCAGTTGGTTAGAGTGCAGCCTTATAACACCAAGATGATGGGTACAGATCTCTGTACCAGCCAGCCACCACGCCACCCCCCCCCCCCCCCCCAAAAAAAAAAAGAAGTTGGTTAGAGGGAATTG